GGCTCTCGGTGGAGCTCCCTATGGGCCAAGAAACGCTGTATTGTCGGGGGAGCGTAAGACCCAGGTTTGCCAGGACTCGGGTTCGCCATCGTTTTTTTGACGACCGCGACTCGGATTTTGACGAGTAGGAGTTTCGCGGGATGTCTGCAGCGGGAGGCCTCGTCAAAATGCAGGCTCGGCCTCGTCATTTTTTGACGACCTCGTCGGGGATTTCCGAGTCCCCTGTACCCGGGTCTTACGCCCCCCTGATATTGGGCGGGCGAGACGCATGCGAACTTTGTCGTTGGGGCCTTTGGTGGAGTTTCTTTTTGACAGCGAAACGTGGGGACAAACGCATGCGTTGCCACGGTGGCTTTCGGTGGAGCTCCTTATGTTATGCGCCACGAAACATTGTACTGGGTGGGGGAAACGCATGCGAACTGTGCCATTGGGGTCTTTGGTGGAGCCCCCTTGGGCCGCAAAACGTTGTACTGGATGGGGGAGGCGCATGCTAACTTTGCCACTGGGGCCTCCGGTGGGGTTCCTTTTGGGCCACGAAACATTGCAGTGGGCTTGTGAGACGCATGCGAGCTTTGCCACTGGGGCCTTCGGTGGAGCTCCGTATAGGCCACGAAGCGCTGTTCTGATTCGGGGAATCGCATGCGAACTTTGCCATTGGGGTCTTCGGTGGGGCTCCCTATTGGCCAGGAAACGGTGTACTTTGTGGTGGGGGCGCATGCGAACTTTGGCACTGGGGCCGTCGGTTGAGCTCCCTATGGGGTCTACGAAACGTGTGGGGGGGGTGCGGAGCTTGTAGACGGATGCAGAGATCAGAAGTTAGGATGGGGAGGTGGAACAAGAGGAGGAATGAGGAACGCGGGGCGCTGTCTCTTCAAATCGGGGACCTGACACCACAGGATGGTCGGGAAAAACAAGCACATCGAACATGTGAAAATGTGCGGGTCTGGACCTCGAAATTACATTGGTCAAGGTCAGGGACAATGGGCGGCCGTCTCTCCTTGCGTGCCCGCTGGGAGCGCCGAGCGTGCTCGGTGGGCCCGGGCGGCCCGGCGACGGTTGCCCCGTCCGGTGGACGCTGCAGGCGCGCTGTTCGGTGGACGAAATGGCGTCGGCCATGTTTCAGTGGTAGAGGGGGGTTGCGATGGCAACCTTGACGGGAGCTCTGGGGGAGTTGTGGGCGGTTCTTTTGGGTGTCCGCGCCCCACCCCCCCAACAGCATTTCAGGGAGCTCCCACGAATTGCAGAGAGCGTGCTTGGGCCGATTTTGGTTGAGCTCACGCTGATAAGTACAAGGCACCGCGCGCGGTGGGGAGGGCAGAACGTTCTCGAGTCTTCGTGCGGCCACAGGATTGACGGTTTGGGTCACGGTCTTAAGAAACGGTCTGTTGCTCTTTGCGGAGGTCGGGGGGGAGATATTGCAATGAATTCAAGTATATAGCCCCGACCAGGAAATCGGTGTGGGTCTCGTTTCGGATCGAGTTGCGTGAGCGGGCGAGGCGAGTTGCCAAGTTCGTTGAAATAGCGCCTCTTCTTAGCATGGGCGGTGGCGGTCGGGTGATACCGCAGGCTTCTCCCGACTGGGTGTCCTCTTCTGGCAGGGGGCGATGTGTTCTGCTTGCCCCGCGGTTGTCGTGTTTGGTTGTCCCGTACGTTTGTCCCGCATTCGGGAGACAGCTCAACAATTCACAGTAGGTGTGCAATCACAAGACAGCTCGCAGCTTGGGCCCTATCGCCAGCCCAAACGGCGAGCACTAATCGGGCGTAGCCCCGCACGCATTCGAATGCCCCCACTTCGTCCTCGTACTACTCGTATTCCTCCCCGTCCTCCCCATCCTGATCGTCGTCGTCCTCCTCGTCCTCCTCATCCTCCTCGTCTTCCTCGTCTTCCTCCTGATCCAGCTCCTCCTCGTCGTCCTCGTCTAGGGCCTTGTCCTTTGCTTCTCCTCTTCCCCCTGATCATCCTCTTTCTCCTGGCACCTCGGCGGCCGAGAATACAACCGACTCCTATCGATTGCGCCATAGGTTGCGCCCTCGGCGGCTGAGAATAATACCGTCTCCTATCGGTTGCGCCGAAGGCTGCGCCTTCGGCGGCCGAAGATGAAACCGTCTCCTATCGGCGTCGCCGTGGGCTGCGCCCTCGGCGGCCGAAGATGGGACCGTCTCCTATCGGCTTCGCCATGGGTTGCGCCATAGGTTGCGCCGAAGATGAAGCCGTCTGCTACCGGTTGCGCCACAGGTTGCGCCCTCGGCGGCCGAGAAGAAAGCCGTCGCGTAACGGGTGCGACCAGTCTGTTCAGTTCAGTTCATGCCGTTTTATGTCAGTTCATATCATATCACTTCGCGAGAAACAATTTCGGGCTACGCCCGAGGTGATAGCCAGCGTGGCTCCCAAACGGTATGTGATTGCACCCCCGGCGTGCAATCTATGTGGTGCATGTTGTGTGATGCCATCTACGGGGTGCAGTATATGGGGTATTAAATTTTTGATGCAACGTGTGGGGTACTTTCTATGGGTAGCGACCTGGAAATCTGAAGGTAGTTAACTCCAATGCTTGAGCAAACATCTTACCCACCCATCCGCAAATGCTGGCAACTTTGGCCTTGTATGATGGGGCGAAGACCTTTGGCATGCAGATCTTTGACCTGGGCGGGCGAGTGATGACGGTACAGACGGCATCGGCGACGACGACGATATTGATAGTTGTGGCATTGATGGTGAGGACGGCGGCGCGTGAAACAATCAGGCAGATGGTTGTGTCGTCCCTTTAGTTCAGTTGTGATTCAGTTAGACAGAGCAATCCGTCTTGACTCAACATTGAGCATTGCGCCCATCTTCACACAACATGGAACAATTCACTCATACCCGACGTAACGCCGTTTAGCAATCTGCGGCGCGACAGCCTGTGTACACTGTGCAGCTGATCAGTCGCGTAGACATTGCCACAGAGTTGTTCGGCCCTGTATGGCTATGTGCCGATTCGGGTTGCAACGCTTTGGTGGTATGGCAGGTGCCGTCGAGACTCTTGTGCGTGCGATGGCGACGCGCGTGCTTTCATGCCAGGTATACCAGATGTTTGGTGTTATCGTAATGCTGGCACGCGGTCATTGTGTTGAGGGGTGTCAGACGAGGACACGCGACGCGACAGCGCACCCACCACACCGCCGTCGATTGCGGTCAGCCTTGGCGCGCCATGACGAAGTTCGTCGGCACTTCTTCGACAGCTCGCGGCCCGTCCGTGCTCCCACGTGGCGAATGGTGTGCGGCAGGATTGCTGTTCCACTCCTTGCTGTTAGTTGATCGTGCGCAGTACACGGCCAGACCTAGGCGGCATGCTTACATGTTGAGCCGTCCGCTGTGTACCGCTCTAGCGGCACAGGGGCGCGTCCCCGCGCCTTCGCGCGGCCGAGGGCATCCGCCATGATGTTGCGGGCAAGGGCACGGCTGCAGGGGCGCGGCTGTGCGAGCTGGGGGAGCCGCGAGGGAGCGCTTGGCGGTGGCGTGACACTTGGTGTGCGCTGGGCGTTGCCAGGCATCTCTGAGGGACAGACAAATTGGCCAGCCTTCAGAGTCTAGGAGGCGTCCGGCTTGGCGGGCCCATCCCGGACGTTCAGGCAGGCAGGCTACTTCTCCGAGGTCTTGTTGTTTTGAAAAGACTGAGTTGCTTCAATATTGCGCGTAGTTGGGGTATGCTTGCATTGGACTTGCAGTTGGAGCTTGAGTGCACTTCGTTCGACCCCTGTGAAGGCTACTCCAGATTTCGTAATAAAAGGGAGGGGATCTGGACCCTCCAAGACAAGCCATTTCAGACCCCCCCTCGTGGGAGAACCCTCCAAAACTCTGTCCCCAGACCCCCCCAGGCCCTCCAAGATAGCCTGGAAGAGACCCCCCCCCGAAATGAGACCCCCCTCCCTTTATTACGAAATCTGGAGTAATATGCATCAATGGGCCAATGTGAACACGCAGCAGCGGGCCAATGTCAACGGGCAAGCACAGACCTCGGAGCCAGGCTGAGCAAAAAGCTTCGGCAGGGGCCTGCAGGGCTGGGTGAGAGCCCCAAAGGGGGGGCGGGCCAGCAGAGGACCCCTTTGGTCGCCCCGCGGCTGTTGATGTAGTATTCCCTGTCTCGACCACTTTGTCGTTGGACCTCATTCGGGGCTGGGAAATGCCTCTTCCCCATGATATACCCGGGGGTACTCCAGATTTCGCAATAAAAGGGAGGGGGTCTGGACCCTCCAAGACAAGCCATTTCAGACCTCCCCCGTGGGAGAACCCTCCAAAACACCGTCCCCAGACCCCCCCAGGCCCTCCAAGATAGCCTGGAAGAGACCCCCCCCCGAAATGAGACCCCCCTCCCTTTTATTACGAAATCTGGAGTAATATGCATCTCGGCAGCCTCGGACAGTCGGGACGTCGAATTGCATGAACATCCTGGATTCGGATGTGTCTCGGTGCTCCTCTGGCATTCCCGCGCGGGGGCGGCAGAAGGCGTGCCGGCCCCACCAGAGGGGCGGGGGCAGGAGCGGGGGCCTCGCTTCGCGGCCGGGCTTCCTGGCAGCAAGGCAAGGTGACTGACCTCCTCGAGTGCCCGCCGGAGTGGGATGTGTAAAACAGGGCTGGGATCGGGATAAGTCGCTCCAGAGCGTTCCGGAGCGCTCTCAGAGCGCTCCGGAACGCTCTGGAGCGGCCGCGGTGCCCCATACATCTTCCAAGCCCGCCGACTCTCAGAGATCTCGGGTTGTCCCCGATCCGATCTTGTCCCGCCCTTCGCGTCGTTTTATGGCCCCACCCAGCCAGTCCCTCCAGACGCCTTGGCCTGCAGATCCTGGGTAGGAGGAGGAGGAGGAGGAGGAGGAGGAGGAGGAGGAGGAGGAGGAGGAGGGTTGTCCCGATCCGATTTTGCCCTGTTCTTCGCGTCGTTTTTTAGCTGTGGCGGGCTCTGCCTCAAAGGGGGGCCGCCGGGCGCCGCTCTCAGGGCGGCCGCGCGCGTCCGCCTCAGGCCATGCTCGCCGCGGCCCTGCGGTCGCTCGTGGTCGCGGAGTGCGAAGGCGGCGGCGGCCGGCCGTCGCCCTGCGCCGCCACCGCGGGGCGGAGGAGCGGCAGGGGAGGAGGAGGAGGAGGAGGAGGAGGAGGAGAAGGAGGAGGAGGAGGAGGAGGAGGAGGAGGAGGAGGAGGAGGAGGAGGAGGAGGAGAGAGGCCCCCCCCGGGCTCCCGCGGCCAGAGCCCAGCCCGCCCCGGGCCGGGCGAAAGGGGGGGATTGGGAAAGGGGGGGTTACGAAATCTGCTGCATGCAGCTGGTTTCGGCCCAACCGAGGGCCCCATTCCTCGATACATGGCCGCCTCCGGCCGCCGGAGGCGGCCATGCATCAGCTACGGGAGCTGATTCTCAAACCCCCCCTTTGCTATCCCCCCCTTTCGCCCGACCCGAGCAGGGGAGAGGGGGGTCGGAGGAGGGTCAAACGACGCGAGGATCGGGGCAAGATCGGAGCGGGACAGCTCGAGATCTCTGAGAGTCGGCGGGCTTGGAGGATGTATGGGGCGCCGCGGCCGCTCCAGAGCGTTCCGGAGCGCTCTGAGAGCGCTCCGGAACGCTCTGGAGCGATTCATCCCGATCCTGGCCCTGTTTTTAGAGGGGGGACGGAGGAGGAGGGAGGGGGGAGGGGAGCGCAGGAGGCGGGCCGGGCCGAGCAGGGCGAGGGCGGGAGGGCGAGGGGGTGCAGGAGGAGAAGCCAGGAGGAGCGGGAGCAGCAGGAGCAGGAGACCGGTATTGGGCCACGGAGCGTCCCATGGTGCCCAAGGTGCACCAGGGAGGTGCAGCAGCCACGCGCACAAGGAGGGGGGTACACCCTAGGCGATGCTTAAGAAAACTTCAGTTTTCGGCCAGAGTCTCGACTATTCTTGATGCTTCAATGTAAATCCCCAGATTTTAACAGAAGCTCTGTTCTTTGATTCAGATTCTGAGACTATGAATTTCTTAACCCATGATTTCTTAAGCATCTCGCAGGGTGTATAGGCGGGTAGGGGGGGGAGGGCTCTCAGGAGCGCCCCTGCTTCTGAGCAGGCCCGGGCCTTCTCCACAGACGTGTGGCCGGCGCCCCTCGAAGAAGCAGCCCCCCCTCCCAAGAAGCCTCACCCCCTCCCCCATGCCCCCCTTTGCGCGCGCCGCCAGAGGAGGGAGGAGGAGGAGGGGGAGGAGGAGGGGGAGGAGGAGGAGGGGAGGAGGAGGAGGGAGAGGAGGAGGGGGGAGGGGGAGGGGAGGAGGGGGGGGAGGAGGGAGGAGGAGAGGAGGAGGAGGAGGAGGAGGAGGAGGACTCCGATCATTTGGGGGGCTTCTGTCGTTCATCAGGATTGAAAGAAGGACGTACGCGCACATGAATCCACGCTGGTCTCGAGAGTACGCATTTTCCGAACGTTCGTATCACGCGGCCAGTCTCGCGGATCGAGGGGCCGCGTTCATGTACATAGCTGGGCGCGTACGTCCTCTGTGGGCTCCCTGGTTCGAAGACTCTGTTCGGTGTCTGGGTGCCCCACCCCAGGGAGGGGGGGCCCTGGAAGCAGTCGTGAGCATCAGTCTTCGGAGGCCCAGCGCCGATCCCATGGGCCCGCGCGGGGGCCTCCGGCACAGGGCGGCTCGCGATGTGTTCGGTGCTCGGGAGCCTCACAGGTTTCTTGATCCGAAATCTGGGCATATCGATCTGCACATGTACACATCCATGTATGTTCGGGGGCGGAAAAGAGGGGGGTGATGACTGGGGGGGGGGGGATATCATGGCGTGGGCCATGATATTTCCCCAGATTTCATGGCGCCTCTTCTTATTTCATCACGTCCCTGGCCCCCCCGCTGGGCCGCGCACATGCCGCCGGTCATGATTTGCACCCCCCCCTCTTGGACACCCCCCTCTTGGCCGCTCCCGATATGTGTATATACATATATATACACACGTACGCGAACGACGCCTGAGGCCAATCTCGGCGGTGATGAAACGTTGGCAGCGGTGCATGCTCGTTGTTGTGCAGCCCGCCTTCGAGAGGGTTCCGAGTGGCGTGTGGAGGGCGCTTGACAACGGCATACGCGATTGGCCTCATACCCTTCCAGGTGTGAGCCTTAAGCTCTGGAATCGGTGGTGCGAATTGTTGTCCGTGGCAGTGGCCGCGCGGGCGTGTGCACCTGATGCGAGCAGAAACAGTGGTGCGAACGATGACTCGTGGCTCGCGCTCTGACAGAACGTGCTGGTGATTGCGGCTATTGTCGGCGCTTGCGGCACTAACTTGCTGTCTTCGCAACGGCCGGGTTTTGCGCCTCCCTTGGCGCTACCGTCGCAAGTGGGATGGGCACGCCCACAGTTGCCCGCCCCTCCGTTTTGGCGCACGCCACAAATATGCCGCCTTTGGGCACGCACATGTGTGCACGGAGCCAGTGGACACGGCTGCGCGCACCCGCTGTTTGGGTATTTTCTCACATGCTTCGCGCGCCACAGAGAACCCCAGCTACTGCGACGTTGGGCACGCTCGCATCCGCGCGCACGCCCCGCGCATAGGTCGAGAAGTTCGTCACGTTACGTATCATCAATGGTCTGCGCAGTCATTTGGCCTCCGCAAGCCCCACGCATTGCATGTTTCAATGCTTCACTCCCGGGCTTCTGTGTATATAAAGTTTGGGTGCCCTTTATGCACGCCCGCGTCATCCAGAGACGCCGTGGATCTCGGAAATTTGCAGATTCATGGGCGCTAAATGATTGCAGGGGGTTGACGGCTGGCAAGTGAAAGCCTGTATTCCTAAGTAGGCGGAGCATTACTCTGGAACGGTGCATCGCTACATACAACCCCAGAGTGCGCCGTGCCCCACATATGTCCCATTCAGATGTTGCATGGTTGTGACATGTGTGTAGTTTGGTAGCCCTCATGAGGTGTAGTCGAGTGGATCTTGGCACTCAAGTTGCGCAATATTCCGCGCCTGAACGACGGAGACGGGCGAACGTTGCAAATATCACCTTCTGTATTTGGGCAACTCGGTTTCGGAGCTAAAGAGGATTTCCTCGTGTCAACGAGGGTTGATACGAGGGTCTCTTCCAGCACGGACTAGCTCGTCTCGCAGGGTGAATCGTTTCCCGTTCTTCTACCATCTATCTTCCACTCGTTGCCTTGCCCCACCCGCTCCATGGTTCTGTTCTTTCCCCAACACTGCCGCCCCCTCCTTTCCCCCACACTTGCTTGTTCCGCTTTCTGATGCCCAGGTGGGGACGGCCTTCCTCCACAAGGAGAAGGCCCTTCCGTGCTGTTCGAGATCCCGCTGCAAGGCCAGTGCGAATGTGGTCAGACGTCGGGGCGATGCCCTGCTGTTCGTTTTACGTGTGTAGCAGATCACGTTCGGTCACTTCTGTCCCTTTGATTGCTCAACATCGTCTCCTTGTTATGCAGTTCCTAGAGCCCAGCAGACCTCTTTCCAGGTCCACGTCACATGAACTCTTGTCTCCTTACCTCTACTCTTCATGCCACTATTGTAAGCAACTGGTATCACCAAGAACACGTTCTATGAATCATCACTTCTTGGTTCCGGATAACCTCACATGTATCTTAGTGGCCGAAAATGGTGACTAGATAGGGACAAGTTCGCGTTTCGCTCACCAGAGTCATGGTCCATAGTTTTGCCCACATGCGAAGGAAGTTGAGGCAAGTTAAGAAGTGATCTCGGAGTGGGGCACGGGTGCGAGTGAGACATGACGCGAGAGCGAGCGAGGGTGCGAGGTAGCAGGGATCGATGGAAAGAGAGAGAGAGAGAGAGACCAGGGCGGGTGTGAGGCGGAGAGCGGAGAGGGAAAAGCGCAAAGTCGAAGGGGAAGGGAGAGAGGAGGGTACCAGGATCTGGAGGGGATAATTTGTGACGACCAGTTCTTCTGCCTCGGCCAAGCGCGAGAGGTAGAATACTGCGTTTGATAGATTTGGGTCATGAGAAAGAGATGGAGAAGGGAAACGTTACAGAGAGGGAATGGGGACATCGGCACTGTTGACTGGAGGTTTGGGGTGAGATGGACGTGAAACGGAGTGACCCCTACCAGGAAATCGCTGTCGCTTCGTATAGTGGGCGACGTGAGCGCAGGCGAGAAAACGAGAGATGTTGCCCTACTCAGGGGTTGGTCACCTCATATTGCCTCGTCCCCATGTGCGCGCCGGGCCCCCGGGCTTGTCCTGGGGATCTCTTGTGGTTGTCCCGTACTTGTCCCGTGGTCGTCCCGGTTTTGTCCCGTGGTTGTCCCGTGGTTGTCCCGAGTTTGCCCTGTGCTTGTCCCGTGCTTTTCCCGTGCCTGTCCCGCGCTAGCCCCCCAGTTTTTCCGTGGTCGTCACATAGTTGTCGTGTGGTCCCCGTGTTTGTCCCGTGGTTATCCCGTGCTGGTACCGTGCTTGTCGCGTGTTTGTCCCGTGTTTTCTGTCCCGAGTTTTTCGCGTGGTTGTCCCGTGATTGTTTTGTGCTTGTCCCGTGCTTGTCCCGTGCTTGTCCCGAGTTTGTCCAGCGGTTGTCTCCGGTTGTTCCTGGGTTGTTCGGTGGTTGTCTTGTGGTTGCCACGTGGCTATTCCACGTCTGTTTTGTTTTTCTCGCCCTGGCTACTGTTTTTCATTAAGTACATGCTTCGCCGTGGTTGCGCCACGTCACAGGTACAGATAATAGTGGGACTGGCAGACATCAGCCACACGTAAACGGAGGTGGCGGGAGGGGGGAGAGTTTCTTACAAGACCCCCTTTCCATAGAAGGCGTGCCCCTACCCTTTGGTAGTTGATTATGAGAAGGTTGTGTTGTTGCGCTTTGAAAGAGCGGTTGGCTTGTGCCTGAAACGTTATCCCATTGTTCTAAGAAGTTGCCGAGTGCTTCTTTGAAATAATTGGTGTGTTCGCGAGCTTCATGTCTGGATACAAATTTAGAGCTTGGAACCGGTAACTTTTTACACCTACACATATAGGTGAATACTAATATATATATATATATATATATATACATATATATATATACATACATATACATATACATATATATATATATGTACGTTAGCCAGCGTGGACCACGAACACTTCGTTCTTGCACTGTAGATGTGTGCGCTACGAGGTGCAACTATGCGGCGCAAGCCATGTGGGGCAAGGTACGTGATTCATGTTAGGTGGACCACTAGATGCGCTGCATGCTCTTTGATGTAAACTATGCGGTGCGGCTTGTATGGCGCAAGTTATGTGGTGTAATTGTTTTTTTACGAACGAGTTGACACATCCCATGCTCTTGCAAACATCCCACCCACCCACCCGCGACTTGGTCTGCAAAACCCATGCGGTGGCGATTGCGATGATTGCTTGGCGTTGTCTGGTGCACCTCTGCGGCTGCGCCAACCCAAACACGCGCGCGCACCGGCCAGCTAGCTTGGCGCGACCGACGCGGCCGTGGTGGCGCGGACTGTTGGGCACGCCCTAGCGGGCACTTCAGTGCGAGTTGGCGAGTTGGGCGGGCGCGGTATCATGGCAACGTCGACAACGGTAAACACGACGATGATAACCCGAAGAAGCAATTACAGAACCCCCCCCCCCTTCCGGCGAAACGATAACCGTCCCGCACCCTGGAAGCGTTATTCTGGCACCTGTGGCTAGGAGGAGGAGAGGAGGAGGAGGAGAAGGAGGAGGAGACAGCGATGGCGACGGCGACGGCGACCAGGCGGATCGGCCGACTCGCCTAGACATTGCGGATCGACCAGGCGGATACAGCGACAGCGGCTAAGGAGAAGGAGACAGATGTCTAGGCGGATAGACTCGCCTAGACATTGCGGAGAAGGAGGAGGAGACAGCGACGGCGACGGCGACCAGGCGGATCGACCAGGCGGATCGGGCGACCAGTCATCCTCGCATTTCTTAATAGAATTGGCAAAATCGCCTGAGACATCCTCGCACAAATAAATAGAATTGGCCAAATCGCTTCAGACATCTTCGCAGTTCTTATTAGCATTTGCAAAATCGCTAGTTTTTCTCAGCGTTTCCTTAACTTTTCTCAGCTTTTCCTTAGCTTGTCCTAGCTTTTCTTTAGCTTTTCCATATTTTCCTTAGCGTTTCTCCGCTTTGCCTTAGCTTTTCGTTTGCTTGTGTCAGCTGTTCCTTAGTTTTTTTTCGCTTTTCTCAGCTCAGACGTCCTCACAGTTCACTCACAGACAAGACTCCCGCGTGAAACTTCCTCCATTAAAGCGACCGTGCCTACGGAGGACGGAATAAATTTGACGGTGCGGGTGCTAAGGTAACGCCACGGTGCGGAGGGGCGGCGATACCCTCGGGTGGAGCGCCCCCTACGACGGCCGGATTATATATATGTATATATGTATATATATATACATATATATATACATATATATATGTATACATATACATATATATATATATATATATATATTCAGTAGGGGTTGTAATAATAATCGTATAGGACAAGGATGATGAACAAAAAACATGCTTAAACAAAAGAAAAAGTAATAATACGAATCTTCATTCACTTTCCCTTAGTTTTCTCAGTTTTTCCTTAGTTGTTTCTCAGCTTGTCCTTAGCTTCTCTCAGATTGTCCTTAGCTTTTTCTGAGGTGTTCCTTAGCTTTTCCTTGCATTTCTCAGCTTCCCGCAGGTTCCAAGCTGAGGACTCGCTCAGCGCACTTCAGGCTGGAGTTCCGGTCGCCTGCCCAGGCCGCTTCGAAACCATCGCCGTCATCAGCATCATCATCGTCATCACGGTAGCAGCAACAGTTACGGTGTCAGCAGGTTGACACTGGTGACCACGGCGCGGCCAGCGACGGCGCCGATGCTGATCGCGCCGGCGACGATGACGGCGTCTTCGCGTCGGTGGTGAATGTCTTGCAAGGAGTTCGACATGCGCGCGCGGCCGACGCGCGAGAGTGGCCCACATGGTCTTAGTTGACACGGATCGTGTCCCCCCAAAACGCGCGCAAGGGCGTGCGAATGATTTCGGCACGCGGCGCGATAGGCTCGTACGACAGATTTCCACGAAAATGTTGAAACACATGGCTTCCCCAAGGATTCGCAAGCGCGCGCAAGTGTTTTAAACAGAAAATGCTACGAAACCAAATGTTTTTGTTGTATATGTGAATGGGACACTCGATTTTGAATCTCTGCGAAACCGGCGTTTTTTGTTTTTTTAAAAGATTCCGGCATGCGCGCGCGAGGACGCGCGCGTGTGCATCTCGCCCCATCATGTGCAAGGCACTCTTGACACTTGATGATTTGTGATAAACGAGGGCGCGCGCATGGTTCCTTTTGCAGATGATGAGAGGGGGGGTGGGGGGGCGGCACCACCTGGGCTTGGGAATGGTATGAGTACATATTCCGACTGGGCGATGGGGCAGAATCGCATATTATTCTCACATCCCCAAGGGGCCCAATAAGTCCGGCCTCGGGAGGGCTGTGGGGTTCAGTCTATTTTTGAAAAGGGACATATATGCGGCGCAAGAGGCGACGTTGCGCAAGCTATGATGTGCTGCAAGATACGCGGTGCAAGCGAGGTGGTGCAATTGATTGTTACAAACGACGTGACATCTTCCACGCTCTTGCAAACATCCCACCCGCCCACCCGCAACTTGGTCTGCAGAACCCACGCGGTGGCGATTGCGATGCATGCCTGGCGCTGGCTGGTGAACCTCTGCGGCCGCGCCGACCCAAACACGCGCGCGCAGCGGACAGCTAGTTTGGCGCGACCGACGCGGCCGCGGTGGCGCTGATCGCTGGAAACATCCCGGTGGCCATTTCGGCGACTGGGGCGGGCGCGGCATCGTGGCAACGTCGACAGTGGTAGACGCGATGAGGATAGTAGCAGCGCTGGCGGCGATGTTGGCAAAGACCACGGCGCGGCCAGTAGGGGCGCCGGTGCTGACCGCGCCGACGACGATGACGGCGCTTTCGCGTCGGTGATGAAGGTTGCGGAAAGAGTTCGACGCGCGCATGCTGCCGACGCGCAAGAATGGCCCGCGTGATTTTAGTTGACACGGATCGTGCCCCTCCGAGCACGCGCGCAAGGGCGCGCGAACGATGCCGGCATGCGGCGGGAGAGGCCCGTTTGGCAAACCGCCCAGGAACACGTTGAAAAAAAAACATAATGGTTCCCCAAGAATCCGCAAGGGCGCGAACCCACGTTTCTTTGTTGAGCGAAACACAGTCTATGTTTGTATGTTTTTGTTGGACACTCGCTTTCGGAATTCCCGCGAAACCGCAGTTTTTTTCTAGCGGATTTGGCACGCGCGCGAGACGACGATCTCGCGCGCACTTCGCCCCATTT